TTCATTTCAAATCATTATCATCATTCTCTCCAGTATTAGGCCTACTGATACCTCTTAGGGATATAACAAAACAGAATCCTTCCGTTGTGTCGGAGATATTCTGAAATTTCCATTTCCTTTTGATTGTTATTTTAAAACCCACCACTTTTTTAATTCTGTCGGAGTTCATCCTGTTACAGTATTCTCTTTAGCTTCATTTTTGCTATTCCATAAAATTTCGGTTTGTGGAATCTGAATTTCTCTCACAATTTGAGCATTTTTACTAAAGTCCAAAAGAGTATGTAACTCAGTCCTGGTAATGAAAGACATTTCTGTAATTATCAGCCTTCTCCCATCACTTCTTACTGACAAGGCAAAATAACATTCATAATTACAATTAAGGTATTTGGAAAACATGTATGTATCCTTTCCACTCTCCTTTTCAAATGACAGCAAAATGAAGATACAGCCTGAAAATTGACTTATTTTAACTTCAGTTCCTTCTAAACTAAGTAAATAAAAATAAATACACGTAGTTTATAGTTATCAATCTGAATATGAGACGTGATGAAGGCTGTGGTAATAAATTTGTCGAGTGCTAACACGTGGACTACATCCTCAGAGCTCAATTTTCCTCCTTTGTATAAATATTTGATTGAGATTTTTCATAATTGAGGGGGCAAGGAATTGAGAATAAATCTGAGGAAATATTACTACAACTCAAGAAACACTTTCTATCTAGAATGTTGTCACCAAATAACTTGGTAGCAGTTAAAACAAATGCCATACCTTGCATCTATATTTCCATCTTCCAGAAAAGAGGCTGCAGCTGAAATAACTTCATGTTTAAATACTTTGAGTGCTCTTGGACCCAATTCTATGTCAGCACCTGATGTGGTTATAACCTGTGTGAGTATTCTTGATGCTTTTGCCCTTTCCAATTTATTCTTATGCCTGCAGAGAGGAAGTTGCAAATTGTCATTATTAGATAAAGGTTGAATATGTGCAAATCAACACATTTAAACATCACACCTCATAGAATTTTGACTGTAAGTCAGAGCAGGAAAAATTATTCTCATTCAACTTTCACCAGTTCATGGAAATTGTATGCATATACTGTAAGTGATGGTTAAAATATCTCTTTGAATGCACTGAATATTCTGAGGCCTCAAATACATCTAATAGTATTTAAAAACTTGTGATACCAATGTCCCTTTTGATTTGTTTCATTCTGGTCCATCACACCAAAAATATGAAAAGTTAAACAGTTCCATCAAGTGTGACTAGTGAAGATTTTTCTTATTTCAGTTATCTATGCCCTAGGGAACTGTTTAACTTTTCATGACATTATGTCCCCATTAGAAACTGATCAACTAAATCTGTTTAAGAAGCAGAATTCATTCTGGGATTAATGAAGACAGAAATACATTCTGTGGGCAAAATTCAGAGATCTTTAATGTTAAAGGAAGGTACAACCAATATGCTTTAGAGGGTTAAGCTCATTTTTTCCACGTATATAAATGAAACTATATCTATTCTCAGTACATGCTCCCAGTTTGATTAACAATGACACACTGTAATGCACTGTAATGCAACAGACCATGAAAGAGCTCAATGAAATTCTGTTAGAAGAAAACGAGGTCGTGGCCAGTACAAAAACGGTACTTAACGTAATGAGTCAAAATGGCTCTTAGAGTTCATAGGCTGCTCAATGCTGCTTAATGCAAAATAGCCTTTGGAGGCGGAGCTATGAGCTCAGTAAACAGCTGTAAGACTTACATATAGACATACAGGAGTGACTCTGCTCTCAGAGACGCCATCAAACCCCATGAGAGGGTCTTCATTCCAAATTATAATCTTTATTGGATTGACCACTTCCTGGGAATGAACGGACATCCCCATAACCATATAGGCCTATGCTATATGTGTGATATGTACGCTTGACAGAGTTGAAGCCTATTCATAAGAGATAAACCAACCCTCTCCTCAGAGAAAATGATTGATAAGGGCTTTTACCTCAAGAGTTCATTTGTCAAAAAAAAATCTGGTCATGCACCTCAAAGAGCTTGGCGCCCAAGAGGAACTGATTGGTGGTAAACCACTAGTCGTAAAGTAACGCTGACTCCTTGAAGTAACAAAATTTCATATTTCTGTGATCCTGTGCGTCTGTGCGATAGCATCAGGCTCTTGTTTGCTCGTTTTATGTTTTCATTTTAACTATACAGATTTGAAATCCCAGCAGGTGAATAACTTTCACTCTGGTTACAGCCTTCATACACAGAAATGATTTCTTACTAACAGTACAGGCATAGCTTGCAGAAAAATCCGCATTTTCTTGTGAAGATCTGGCTGGTGTTAGAAGAACTTTAGCTACCAACTAAATAGCAGGAGGCACTGGTCTTTCACCAATGCCTTCAAATGGCATATAATTTCAAAATTCTGAATGGCATCACAACCCAGAAGACTGTACTCAAACATCACACGAATGCAGTACATTTCCCTGATTGCACCATGTCACACCCCAGAAGGCAGTACTCTTTATATTCACCCTCGTAATAGTGTGCATCCTGTTATGTGTCATAATTAAGATATACAAAAGTATATAAGGTATGCCATCTACACATCAATATTCTGTATTTGAAAAACAAAGAAGACACTACTGTATCAAAATTTTCACATAGTGGGGGGTGGAGTCCAACTGGGTCCACTCAGCACGGCGGCCACTGATTCGCTTATTGTAGCCTGCCCCGGCTGATTATGATGATGGAGAATTTGGTGGAATGAAGATTGGCAGGGGAAACCGAAGTACTCGGAGAAAACCCGCCCCAGCGCCACTTTGTCCACCACAAATCCCACTTGACCAGACCCAGGCTGCTAATCGCCTGAGCTACAGACACAACATGTTTCGACCCTTACACCGGGTCATCATCAGGCGTACAATACTCCAGTTCGAGCTTTTGAATTGCAATTAAGTATCATCTAATTCTTCAAATAAGGATCCTTATTGTGTCTTGAGATTATTTAAATGCATAAATGTATACAATAAGTCTTGGTCAAAATTTTAGAACTGAAAATCCTTGGATGATAAAATTTAAAATTACGGATATCAAAATTAAAATTAGAAACTAAAGATTAAGACATGAAAGTTAAAATTGTTTTCTTGTGGTAAAACTCTGCGATCGCTACATGTTGACCTGGTTTTATGCCGGTAGAAGCGACTATAGCGTGGGGCACCCACGTATCGGGATCTTCTCACATGGGATAGGTCATGTAGTCATGACCTTATTAATATCTTACGGAGTACTGTCTTCACCACCATGAGAACCTCAAATCTTGTACAGTGGAATGTGTCTTTTATGCTAGAAATATTTGAAGGATTAACTGCAGTAACAAAATCCTTCAAGCACTGTAAAAATTAATTTCACAATCCACACCGTAAGATTGGGCATGCGGTAGCATAGTTGGTTGAGGTCGGAAGGTCACAGGATCGATTCCCGACAAGGTCTTTGGATTTTTCATTTGACCTAATACTTTCAGCTGCACTGTGGCCCTGGGGTTGACTCAGTCTCTAACAGGAATGATCAACAGGAATCTTACTGGGGTTAATGGCGGCTCGCGTGCAAGGCTGGCAACTTCAATGCTATCTGTGAGCCGAAGGTCTAGACAATGTAAGAGCCTCGTCTCACAATCCTATGGCCCTTCAAGGCCTGTTACAGGGATATCTTTACCTTCCACCTTACACCGTAAGATAAGACATTTTTCAGATGTTCGCAGTGTTTCAAAACTATTTTCTAAACTAACTTAATCTAACCTGTTCATCATGTTGGAAAATCTCTTTTACAAAAATGACTAATTCTGTCATAGAGAAGCATTGGGTTTTGGAGTAGGAGTGCTGTACCCATGTTTGAATAAGGAAAATTCATAGTTGAGCCACATGTCTAAAAATCATTGCAGTTCTAGAAATTTAGTTCATTAATAATGTATTACATGTATATTCATTCATAAGTGGCCTCTGTAATGATTCTCTCCAATGGCCTGTTCATTCAACATGCTGATCCCCCCCCCCTTTTTTTTCTTTGCATATCTGTATACTTTTTATATAACCTTACTTTGTCAGCTATTACATGATATTCAGAAGAATTTATCACTCAGATACCTGCGTCATCATTTTCTGCATCGTAATATGACGAGGATGTTAAGATTTTATCAAGTAACTGACGTCACTGTAAAAGGTTTATAGGCAGCTACACAGCTCTTACAACGGCCAAAGCTTCGTCAAAATTTTTGTGAAAGCCTATCATTGCAATCCACTTCACATCATCTAATTTACTTCTCTGACAGCCATTTTAATTATACCCTCTAAGTGTAAGCCACACAAATGATCTATTTCCCTGAATATTTTCAACTGAAATTCAAATTTAATTTCCTGTGTTTCAAAATTACAGTTCACTCATGTAAATATTTTATTTTATATGGATCTGAAGCTTAATCTCTCTCTCTTTCCCTTAGAGGGAATGCAGTCTGGGGTTGTTTTAGATCAGGGTACTGAGGTGGATATTTAATCATCAAAGGTAGGAGGAAAAAAGGATGTAGAAAATTGCATGAGTATAATAATTTGTACTGATGACTTATTATTATTAGGATGGTCAAATGGAGAATAATGTAATGGGCAGGTAATCTACTATGCATGGAAGATATGAGAAAAGGTTTAATCATATTTTATTCTTTAAGATTTCTGGCAGGAGGTGGGAAGAGAAAGATATAAGGTCAAAGCATAAATTCAACTGGGTCATACTGATGCTGTTTCAACATTTCACCACCAACTACAGTTGCCATCTTCAGGATAAATGTTACATAAACCACAAGAAACACCAGAGGCTGGGCAGTGTTGTGACATCTCTCTCACTATATTGGATTTGAGGTTTTCATGGTGGTGAATATTAAGATTGTATTCTTCTGAAATGTAATGCCTTGTAGTATTGTACATAGGAATCAGCATTCAGAAAGGAACCTTCTGCCCCTGTTTTCAGGGCAGAAGAAGATCCATACAGCAGGTTCCCAAAATGTTTAGTTGCTGTCTACTAGAGTGCATGGCATCATATTCCATGAGGCAAAGTCAAAGCTGCCCCTGAGCTTAATTAAATATAATTATGCAAGTATTAATCGTTCGACGTGATCCTTTTTCCTCTCTCCATTCCCTACTACTCATTACATAATTTTACACTACCTTATCATAATATTTCACACTTCAAATATGCCACTCCTAAACTTTAACATACTAAGAGCCTAAGTAAGTTTCTCACAACTATGAACTACAAATATGCGTCCTCCGCATATTACTAGTAACTCATAACACATACGCTATAACGACGGCAATATTGCCGGACTAGCATTCTAGGCAATTACTTGTTACATTATTTCTATTATTCTAACCTGAGGGCTCCCTTGGCACACTGGACATTTCTTGCAACATTTAACAAACAACAATTTACAACAACCATAATGTTTAACAGCATGGCTAGTATGAGTAAACCTGACTTGCCTGAGATAAGAGACGCAGCGACACCACCACTTGTAGTACCGATGTTGAATAGAGGCTCCGGCTGTCTACTGAATATTACGTTTTTATATCGAATCCACATTGAGTTCTTTCTCATTTTTATATAGTAAAATGTGTAATTACAATGTCTTCACTATCCGTTGCCTGTCAACGGATTTTAACATAAGAGCGATCACTTCAAATTACTATGACGTCTTCTTTGACACAATTCTCCAATTCGCTGTAGGACTGGAATCTCTTGGTCACAATTCCCAACTCTTTGACACCGACCACGTACAGAAAACGTACATAAGAAAACACGAGCATTTGAACCTAACCGAAGGTGCATTATCGTGTCCAAGAGTATCCGCCACTGGTTTCTATCTTGATCCAGATGAATACAGCCCACACCCATCCATCTCAAGACTCGTGTATTAAAATGCTATCTCCAGCAGAATTTAATATTATTTTCCTTCCCCGGCCAACTCCCCCCCCCCCAACTTTACGTTTCCATGCAACCGCTGGAGTCATAATTGTCCGACTTCAACAGCTACTGAAATTTCTGCACGCAACTTTCTATTCTAGTGTTTTTATTTGTAATGGAAACAATGGCTTAAATTTTAGTT